TGTATCTATCTTGTGTTTTTCTAAGGGTATCATAAGTGAAAAGAGCTATAAGAAGGAGAGAGTATGAGTGAATGTAACATGAAAACTTTGGGAAATTGTATGTTTGCTCCATTTTTGAGGTCTACTTGACTTATATTTCTTTTCTATCACTGCTGAAGTCATCTCTGATTGATATCTAGCTTCCTACTCCTACTTTCACAGCATTCCAGTCTGCCTTCAAATTAATATGGTAAGGAAAATGGCATTTTATAAACTTAGAACACCTAAACAGAGAGAGATTATTTAAGTGACAGGGAGATTATATAGGAATTACCTGAGATTCAAAGGGATTTTCTTTTGTGATCATTTACTGATGAACATTATTAGTGGATGATGGGATAACTGGGCTAGCACTCTATCATTTGTTTGTTTGACAATCTTCTCTAAGATTTGCATCTTATCATTTATTTATTTTCTGTACCTTTAGTAAGAGTTACAAAGAAGATCATCCCCCCTCTTCCCACCAAGAGGGGTAGTTCTCACTTTCTCCTATCCTTCTTGTTAATGCTTTTGTCCCTCTACCACTTATTCCTTTTCAGTCTGATTTGTAACTATAATTCAGATCCACCATTTTTGGGGGTGGGGTGAGGGTGGCTAGCTAGCCAGTATGGGGATCTGAACCCTTGACGTTGGTGTTATTGGCACCACATTCTAATCAAGTGAGCTAATGGCCAGCCCCTCAGATCCACTTTTCTTTTTTTTTTTGACCAGTAAGGGGATCGCAACCCTCAGCATGGTGTCATTCTTACCACGCTCAGCCAGCAAGTGCACCGGCCATCCCTATACAGGATCTGAACCTGCTGCCTCAGCACCACCAGTGCCCCACTCTACCGAGTGAGCCACGGGGCCAGCCCCAGATCCACTTTTGATATGGACTTTGGGTAAAAGAAACAGAGTAAAATGTAATATAGATCCCAAATTGTGTTTATTTTTTATTTATTTTAATTTTTTATTTTAACATCTACTTTTATGTATTTATGGGGTAGTGTGTTGTTCCAATACATGCATATATTGCACAATGATTCACCTAGGGTAGATAGCACAGTTTTGTTTGTATCCATTAGTTCACCATTTCTCCTTCCCCCTGCATACTGCCCCCCCCAACCTATGGTAACCATTATTCTACTCTCTACTTCTATGAGAACCACTGGTGTTTTTTTTTTTTTTGGTTCCACATGTGAGTATTATCATGTGATATTTCTTTTTCTGGGCCTGACTTTAGTTAACAAGATGGTTTCCAGTTCCATCCATGTTGCTGCAAATGATAGGATATCATTTCCTTTTATAGCTGAATACTGTTCCATTGTGTATATAGATAAGTAGTTTTTTATCCATTCATCTGTTGATGGGCATTTAGCTTGGTTCCATCTCATGGCTACTCTGAATAGTATTGAGATGAACATGGGGGTGCAGGTAAATTTTTCATATATATCGATTTCATTTCTTTTGGGTATTTACCCAGTAGTGGGATAGCTGGTTCATAAGGTAGATCTCTTTTTGGTTCTGTTGCAGGGAACCCTGAGCATTTTCTAATTGTTAAATCTTTCCCTTTTTTTTCACTCAAGAATCCATTTTAGAAATTTTATGCTTGACTGTCTTAATAGCAAACTCTGGCTCCTGCAACTTAGCTTGCCTGCTTCCTGCACCCACCTGTATCCATGTGCTAATAGGAGACAACAGCAGTCTCACACCGCCCTTAGGTCTGGATGCAAATTAGGCTCCAGAGCTGACCAATGGACTGTGTCCCATAATCAGCCAATATAAATTAGCAAGACTGCATCCCTCATTTACATAAGAGGACCTAAATGGGAACTTGGGTGGGAAGTTAGGGCGGGAATTTGGGCTATATAAGACTGCCTCTTTCCTTTGTTCCGGGAGACACTGATCTAGGAGTCTTCACTCCCCAGTGCTCTCCTTGCTTGCAGGCAAAAAGGTGCTGTAACACCAAATAAAGAGCTGTAAAAATGCAACACTGATGCCGTCTTGGATTCCTCTGTGCGATCTCTCCCACAACAGTTCTCTGAGGGACCTCCATACTGTTTTCCACAATGGCTATATCAGTTTATATTCACACGAACAATATAGGAGAGTTCCCTTTTCTCTGCATCCTCTGCCAGCATTTGTTATTTTCTATCTTGTTGATAATAGCCATTCTGACTAAGGTGAGGTGATAGCTCATCGTGGTTTAATTTGCATTTCCCTGATGACTAGTGATTTTGAGCATTTTTTCATGACCTTGTTGGCCATTTGTATGTCATCTTTTGAGAAATGTTTGTTCAGTTTCTTTGCCTCTCTCTAAAGTGGGTTATTTGGTTTTTGGTGTTGAGTTACGTGAGTTCCCTTATATATTCTGCATATTAGCCCCTTGTCTGATGTGTAGTGTGCAGACACATTCTCCCATTCTGTATGTTGTCTTCTTCACTTTGTTGATAGTGTCCCTTGCTGTGTACAGGTATTTTAGTTTGATGTAGTCCCATTTGTGTATTTTTGCTTTAGTTGCCTGTACCTTGGTAATCTTGCTCAAAAAAGTACTGCCCACTCCCATTTCATGTAGCATTTACCCTATGTTTTCTTCTAGTAGTTTCATAGTTTCAGGTATTAAATTTACGTCTTTAATCCATTTTGAGTTGATTTTTGTATATGTGAGAGCTAAGGGTCTAGTTTTGATCTGCATGTGGATATCCAGTTTTAATTTTTTTTTTTTTTGCGCTGGCTAGTACATGGATCCAAACCCATGACCTCAGCATTGCCAATACCACACTCTCCCAAGTGAGCTAACCAGTCGTGCCTATATAGGGATATGATCCCGTAGCCTAGGTGTTATCAGCACCGCACTCTCCCAAGTGAGCCACGGGCCGGCCCCAACAGAAATGTTCTGATGGTAGAAAGTGAAAAAACATAGACCAAAATTGGGAGAGGATATGAGCCTGGAGAAGAGCAGAATAATGAGGAAAGAAAGGGAGGGATTGGGAGCCTACCACTTTGCTGACCTCACTTTGTCTTTGCTTAATTTTACAGGCGCAATTCAATGCTTATTGTCAACCTATTGGCCATTGTAGGTGGCCGCCTTATGGGATTCTGTAAATTAGCTAAATCGTTTGAAATGCTGATCCTGGGCCGCTTGGTTATTGGCATCTTCTGTGGACTCTGCACAGGTTTTGTGCCCATGTACATTGGAGAGATATCTCCTGCTGCCCTACGGGGTGCCTTTGGTACTCTCAATCAGCTGGGCATCGTCATCGGGATTCTGGTGGCCCAGGTACTCTAGAACTTCCCATACTTAACGAGTGTTAGTTTTGTGGCTCATTAAATGAGTTAACATAAGTAAAGCACTCAAAAGAATATCTGGCACATAGTCAATTATATATAATCTATAAGTTTATAATCTATGTATATAGATTAGAATCTTATATAATCTGTAAGTTTCAGATATTGTTACTACTCACAGATAGTAGCTAAAGAAGCAGGCTGCACAGAGAAAGGAAAATAAAGTTTGTTTATCTTGTGGTAAAAGCCCCTTACCGGTCATCTTTTTTTTAAAAAAAAAAAAGAAAGAAAGAATGAATTGGGGGCAGCACATTATCTTTATCCTTTCCTCTTTGTTCAATTCACCAGTCCTCCAGCGGTTGTTCTGAGTCTATTGAATCACAGATCTCTCATATGTAAGGAGCATGAAAACTGTAAAAAGTAAATCTGATGCACTGCAGGCTTGGAAGTCACTTGTCCAACCTGCCTTTGAGCAGTGTTTTCTAATTTTCTCTTTTAGGCAGAGAGAAGTTTGGACAGTGTTTACCTAGCAGAGTGAACTGCTTTTAGGTGAGGTGATGTAGGGGTTAACTTAAGTTAGCATGACGGCACTAGATAGTAAAGTAATTTTATTGTAAGAAGTTTGCTGGATGGGCTGGCTGGTTAACTCATTTGTTTAGAGCATGGTGCTGATAACACCTAAGTCCGAGGTTCGATCCCTATACCGAGCAGCTGCCAGAGAAAAAAACAAGTTTGCTGGAGGTGTGTATATATATGTATGCCTGTGTACATTTATACATACACACACACATATAATCTATATATACACATACATACATCTATATATATAGTGTGTGTGTATATATAGTGTATATATATAGTATATATATATAGTGTATAGAGTATATATATATATAGTATATATAGTGTGTGTATGTGTATATATACACATATGCACATATAAACACATTAGGTTTTTGATGTGTAGACCTTTTTATAAGGAAGAGAACTAGCATAAGTATTCATTACTACTTTTAACTATTCAAATGTCTTTCCCCACAAGCTTTATGTCATCTTTTTTTTTTTTTTTTTTTGGCGGCAGGCCAGTAAGAGGATCTGAACCCTTGACCTTGGTGTTGTCAGCACAAAGCTCTAAATGAGCTAACCAGCCAGCCTATATTAGAATTCTTAAAAATAGTCTAATTAGCTCCAGAGCAGCAGTTTTCAATGAAGATAACACTATAAATCTCTGTTTCAAACAGCACAACTGTAATTTCATTTTAGAATATATAAACATGCATAGTTTCCATCTTACATTTGAGTTACTTGAAGAGTTGTTTTTTGAGAAGGTAAATCCCATATGTAGAGGCACATATTCATCGAAAACACTGGGAGATATTGCTATGGAGGCATGTCCTTTGATATCCCTACTGTCATTTAGTTTAAAACTTTTTTTGTTTAATTCCTTTTTGAGAAAAGAGATACATTGAATGATGGGTATAAGTAGTCTTCACTCTTCAAGCAAATATGGGATGGTTGAAAAAGGGAGTTATAGAAGAGATTATATAGAATGCTTTAAACTTGGGATTAGAGAAGTGTCCTGCTATTGGTAAAACAGATTTCAAGTAGCTCTATACAATACTCTTAAGAAAGAGAAAACAGAAGTTTCATGTTATATTTTTCTTTTTTTAGCTTTCTCTGGTGGAAAGGGCAGGAAGAACTCTACATATGATAGGCCTTGGAGAGATGGCTTTTTGTTCCATCCTCTTGACTGTTTCTTCTTAAAGGTGAGATGGTGTGCATGAAGGAAAGGGAGCGGTGGGGGAGGGAGAGAGGTTACAGTTCACTCTGTGACAGTGGGTGGGTTGTTGACGTTGGAGATTATCAACAACGTCAAATTTGAGAGCAGCAAGATGCCCAGGGTTTTAAAACAAGGCAGATCAGGGCCAGCCCGTGGCTCACTCGGGAGAGTGCGGTGCTGATAACACCAAGGCCCCGGGTTTGGATCCCATATAGCAATGGCCGGTTTGCTCACTGGGTGAGCGTGGTGCTGACAACACCAAGTCAAGGGTTATGATCCCCTTACCGGTCATCTTTAAAAAAAAAAATAAAAGGCAGATCATCAGAAATAAGTGAACTGTTCTAATCTTTACATTTATAAAACATTATAGCTTGTAAAATACATTATCTGATTTATAGATTTATTATTTTAATTTTCAGTGGGTGGCCAGTACAGAGATGAACCCTGGTTAGTATTATCAGCACCATGCTCTAACCAACTGAGCTAACCCGTCAGCCCTACATTATTTCATTCTTGAGGTAGTCCTATTTTATAAATGATGAAATGGTCTAAGTGCAAAATGACATGCATAATACATACATACCCAAGGCTTTTGACTCCAAGGCCAGTAACCATGTTATATCACAGGACAGAAGGAGCTTGCCATTTACCCAGTACTCATATCTGGAAAGCTGGATTCTAGATTGTGCTGTCTTATTAACTTTGCTGTGTTCCTTCCTCTTACAGAGTGAATATAATGGGGTGAGCTATCTTGATCTTTGTGGCTTTCTTTGAAGTTGGAACAGGCCCCATTCCCTGGTTTATTATGGCTGAACTCTTCAGCCAGGGACCCCACCCAGCTGCAATGGCAGTGGCTGGTTGTTCCAACTGGACCTCCAACTTTTTGGTTGGACTGCTCTTCCCCTCAGCTGTAGTAAGTAAATTAAAACTAAACTCACTTAGTTTATCTTGAAACCAGTGCACTTTAGCCAGCATGTTTAAGATACACCTTAATAATACAGTAGTCACCCTTTATCTGTGGTTTTGCTTACCGCAGTTTCAGTTACCCATGGTTAAATTGGGCACCGTTCTGAGTAGCATGATGAAGTCTCACACCATCCTGCTGCACCCTATGTGTCATCCCTCTGTCCAGCACATCAACACTGTCTGTATACACTATCCGCCCGTTAGTCACTTAGTAGCATCTAGGTTATCAGATTAACTGTCATGGTATTACAGTGCTTGTGTTTAAGTAACCCTTACTTTACCTCATAATGGCCTCAAAGCATAAGAGTAGTGATGCTGGCAATTCAGATATGCTGGAAAGAAGCCATATAGTGCTTCCTTTAAGTGAAAAGGAAAAACTTTTTGACTTAATAAGGAAAGAAGAAAAATTGTATGCTGAGGTTGCTAAGATCTACAATAAGAATAAATCTATCTGTGAAATTGTGGAGAAAGAAATTCGTGCTAGTTTTGCTGTTGCACCACAAACTGCAGAAGTTACAGCCACAGAGTGCTGTAAGCACTTACGTAAAATGAGAATGGCATTAACTGTGTGAGTGAAAGACGTGGACAGAAGTGTGTTCAGACTGACAGGAATCGGGTTCAGTTTCGGTACTGTCTGGATTCAGGCAGACCCACTGGGGGTCTTGGAACGTATCCCCCACGGATAAGGGGGAGCTACTGTAGTTACTACTGATGCTGTGAAGGATTAGATATCATGAGCTTTAAACCAGATTTCCCCTCTCATTTTCAATGACATGTAGAAAAAATGACAACAAAAAAGATTGAAACAGGAGGGCAAAACTGGGAACTTTTTGTTTTGGCAGCTGACTGGTAATAAACTGGGAACTTGTAAAGGACTACTAGTCTGAGATAATTTAGGTATAGCTTTGCCTAGAAACAGAATGATACTTTAGGTTTTGTTTGTTTGGCTTGTTTTTGGCAACTGGCTGGTACAGGGATCCAAACCCTTGACCTTGGTGTTGTCAGCACCATGCTCTAACCAACTGAGCTAACCAACCAGCTCTAGAAACAGAATAGATAAGAAACAGATAAGCCTCAGAAGATTCCAAACCAATACATAATTTGAATTAGCATTAATTTCTTCATGATTGTAAAGGCTCACTAAGTTTAGGATGTTAACAAATCAGATAGGTCCTGTTATAACATGACCTGTAGCTGATTTATTACATAAAGGAACTTGCAGTGGACTTCTAGAATGCATTTCCTATTTCTGTGGGTGTTTTCAGAAACTCAGATTTTTAAAATAACAATCAAAAGACCTGACATACTCAATAGGTATTTGGAAGCAGCTAATTTTTTTTTTTTTTCCTAGGATCCGAACCTGTGGCCTTGGTGTTATCAGCACCGCACTCTCCCGAGTGAGCCACGGGCCAGCCCTAACTTTAATGAACAGGAAAAGGAATGACACAAAGAGAATATTAGAGAATTATAGCAAGTTAGCAATGGAATGATAAATGAATCTCTGAAGAAACCTACCGTTCATTAACTACAGAAGGGGTTACAGCTCGAAGTCTATTGGGAATATGGATGTGAAGGAAATTGTCAATGATCAGATCTTCATTCAGTGCTTCCTTTTTCTGTCCTTTCACTAGTTCTATTTAGGAACCTACATTTTTATTGTCTTCACTGACTTCCTCGTTATCTTCTTGGTCTTCACCTTCTTCAAAGTCCCAGAGACCCGTGGCAGGACTTTTGAGGACATTACACGGGGCTTTGAAGGGCAGGCACAGGAGACCAGTAGATCTGGGAAAGGCCCCATTATGGAGATGAACAGCATCCAGCCTGTTAAAGAGTCCACCACCAATGTCTAAGTCATGCCTCCTTCCACCTCCCTCCCAGCATGGAAAAGCAACTGCTCCCTACATGAGGGAGAGACCTCATCAGGATGAAACCAGGACTGCTTCTGAATGCTGCTGCTTGATTCCTTTCTCATCCCACACACTCCACGAGCACTCAGATTAACCCAGTGCTGGGACTGGATTTTCACTGGTTTTTAAAATATTTCATTTCAGGCAGGCCCATAGCTCACTTGGGAGAGTTTGGTGCTGATAACACCAAGGCCACAGGTTCGTATCCCTATATAGGGATGGCAAGTTTGCTCACTTGGGAGAATGTTATGCTTACAACACCAAGTCAAGGGTTAAGAGCCCCTTACTGGTCATCTTTTTAAAAAAATTAATAAAGTATTTCATTTCTTGGACATTCTCTTCTGTTTAGGAGAAACCAAGTGAACCTACCTCCATTTCAGGGGGGATTGGCCACTTGGCATGTGACAACTTTAACAGCTCTTCTTCCCTTAGCTTCTAATATTGCCCCACTAGGGCATACAGGGAGTAAGAGGGTGCAGTTCCCCCAACTCAGACTTACCAGGAAGCAGATAGACACAAGTGTGGAGGGGAGAGAGGGATTAAATAAGAGAGCACCTTCCTTACTTCCATACAGCTTTGAATGGCAAATTAACTTGAGTTTTATTTATTTTATCTTCTGGTTTTATTGCATAAGTATTTATTTTTTAGGTGCAAAGTAATTTTACCAAATTGTTACACTTCTCTTTGTGTAAGGGAGATGCAAAAAGGATTACTCAAAGCACCATGAATGCGATGAGAAGTCCAAAGGGACTGCACCTCAGCAACTCCTCTGTTAGGAGGAGAAAACTGGGTACAGCCCTGATTCAAAGTTATCTTCTGTTTTTTACTGTAAAGACAAGTTTCACAAGAAAAATCAGTTGATTCAATCATTACAAAAGGACACAAAGACATGGGCAGTGTTATAGAAGTTATCTACAGCTAAGTATAGCTTGAACAATGGAAACTACTAACATCAGTAAAATTAACAATGTGACATTCCAAATACAATTTGNCCACGAGCACTCAGATTAACCCAGTGCTGGGACTGGATTTTCACTGGTTTTTAAAATATTTCATTTCAGGCAGGCCCATAGCTCACTTGGGAGAGTTTGGTGCTGATAACACCAAGGCCACAGGTTCGTATCCCTATATAGGGATGGCAAGTTTGCTCACTTGGGAGAATGTTATGCTTACAACACCAAGTCAAGGGTTAAGAGCCCCTTACTGGTCATCTTTTTAAAAAAATTAATAAAGTATTTCATTTCTTGGACATTCTCTTCTGTTTAGGAGAAACCAAGTGAACCTACCTCCATTTCAGGGGGGATTGGCCACTTGGCATGTGACAACTTTAACAGCTCTTCTTCCCTTAGCTTCTAATATTGCCCCACTAGGGCATACAGGGAGTAAGAGGGTGCAGTTCCCCCAACTCAGACTTACCAGGAAGCAGATAGACACAAGTGTGGAGGGGAGAGAGGGATTAAATAGAGCACCTTCCTTACTTCCATACAGCTTTGAATGGCAAATTAACTTGAGTTTTATTTATTTTATCTTCTGGTTTTATTGCATAAGTATTTATTTTTTAGGTGCAAAGTAATTTTACCAAATTGTTACACTTCTCTTTGTGTAAGGGAGATGCAAAAAGGATTACTCAAAGCACCATGAATGCGATGAGAAGTCCAAAGGGACTGCACCTCAGCAACTCCTCTGTTAGGAGGAGAAAACTGGGTACAGCCCTGATTCAAAGTTATCTTCTGTTTTTTACTGTAAAGACAAGTTTCACAAGAAAAATCAGTTGGTTCAATCATTACAAAAGGACACAAAGACATGGGAAGTGTTACAAAAGTTATCTGTGGCTAAGAATAGCTTAAAAATGGAAACTAGTAACATCAGTAAAATTAACATGACATTCCAGAGTACACGTGAAAAGTTAAGTTGGTCAAACTATGATCATTTTCTAAAATATAACCTCTCCTTAAATGATATAAATCTAAGTATAATTATCTCTAAAGTTTCCACCAACAGACAGCTTGCCCCTAGAAAACTTTTTTTTTACATCTTTCCCTTCAGCAATTCTTAAAACCTCTCAGCAGGATCGGTATGACAACCACCTGTTAGCTCTAAAATCGTTAAAGTATACAATTTCATACGGAAGCAGTGATTAGAGTTGACTAAATGGGCTGTTGCAACACCATCTGTAGACTGTTGTCTCCTATCCGAGGACTTTTGTCCCCTACATACATTTACCTACAAATCCTATTCTAAAAATCAAATGAGAGTGCCAAATCCTAACCACTAGACCACCAGGGACTGAGAATCAAGGTTTCTAACCCTCTACACAAATAATGAAAATATAAGGAAATCAAGGTTAAAGGGAGGTGTTTAATAAGAGGTTATAGGGTAGAAGAATATTTGATACCCTTTAGCCAAACCCTTGCAGTATTTTAGTTTTCAATTCTCACAATTCTCTCTGGTCGTTGAGCCTTTGGATAAAAACTCACATAGCAATGGAGTGGAGCTTTGTTGAAAAAGGTTACTTTCATCTTATCCAATTGCACCTCTACTTCGGCTCCTCAAACAGAGATGGCAGTAATGCAGGACAGAAGTTGTCCCATTTCTCAATGAGCAGGTTGTGAATATTTCCATATGGATTTTCTGTTAATTTTACTGTGGTTCTTTATTTTGAAATAAAAATCCTGAATGTACGTATGACATCACAGGTTCCTTATTATTATTATTATTATTGTCCTTCCTGTAACAATAAAATCAGCTTTAAATCCTGATTGGCTAGTCAGTGCTCTCAGCTCTCTGTGTCCATGTGTTCTGCTCTGAAAAACGAAAAATAATAATACAATAAGAAATAATACAAATAAAAACAACACATTATAGCAACTTTGCATAGCATTTACATTGTATTAGGCATTATAAGTAATCTAGAGATGATTTAAAGTATATGGGAGGATGTGTGTAGGTCATATATAAACACTACACCATTTTATATCAGGGACTTGAGCATCCAAGGATTTTGGTATACATGGTGGTAGGGTGAGTGTTATGGAACCAAACCCCCACAGACACCAAGGGACGACTGTACCAGCTATGACCTTGAACAAATTCTTAAGAGTCTCACTCATTTGAAAATAACAATACTTGCTTATTGTGCAGATTAAATTTAAAAGCCTCCATGCATTGCTTTTCATAGTTAATAAATTTTGTTTCCCCTATGAGAATTAGCTGTTTTCTGTTTTTCTCTCCTACTCTTTTCTACTTCTTTCCTCCTCTGGTCTTGCCCTCTAAAAATTCATCCTACACTGCTCTCAGGGGATCCATATGATATATATATATATCA